AAGATGTAAAGACTGAGAAATTCCATAGTCAACTGATAAAACTAATGGTAGCCAAGGAATCCTGCAGTGTTGCCATGGAAACAGAATGAATAGTTTGAAATGAAGACTTTGCCAAGTCCGCAGTAAATATCTTTTGAATTTGAGAAAATGTTGGCACAAAAAATACTTTATGTAACTAAGTGATCTAGTCAGAAGCTGAAAAACCATTTTTTGTACTTTGTTTTTTAATGTTTACTTCAGAGAGCTAGGAATGTAAATGCTATCAGTTAGAAAGTCTTTCTTTATTTTTGTAAATTGAACAAAAAAATGTGGCTATCTTGGAAACTTTCCTCAGGTTATTCAATGTTGGGAAAAATATATAATTACTGTATTTGTGCAGCCATGTTTTTGGCCCAAATTTTCAGGAACAAAATCTTTTGTTTCAATTTAATTTTCATTTACTTATATGTAGTAATACTTATTTTTGTATTATAAAGGAATTTCAGCATCTATTTTTCAACATACTATGGTACAAGAAATTTTATGTAACAAATAATTACAAAGCACAAGAACAGATACAAGTTATTTCAGGTACCACCCATGTGTAATGCACATCCTTATTTTTCCCTCCAAAATTTGGACAAGAAAGTGCAAATTATACATGGCAAAATATGGCATTTCTTTTTGTAAGTTCGTATCAATCATTTGAAAATGAGATATCAAGAAAAGCCTATTCTTTAGTCTATTCATCTTTGAAAGAAATTAAATGTAAATATTTTTCTGGATTGACGGATTTCTTTGGGGGCATAAACTTTGTGCAGTTGATGCGTAATACAAATACAAAATATGCTAACTGTGCACAGTAGTACACCTGATTATGTGCAGGGGCATCATCTCAATTGTATCTAAAAGTAATTAGGAAAGCAAGTATGCTTTACCTTGAACTTTGCAAATTTAAACTATATTTCTGAATATAAGGGATTCATAGTATTATTAACTTGTTGAGAAGACTTTGAATCTAGTTTTTAGTGCTCAAAATGCATGAACGCAATGATCCCTGATGAACTGAATCCACCTATTGCAGATATTTGTCACATATTTCCCATGCAAAGTTTCTCGGAAGCGCTAAGGATTACGTGAACTGTTAAATCTTTGCATACATCTTTGACACTTCTGCCCATCCTCTTTTTAGACTTAACCAAAATATTAAGAATGACTGTAACAGCTGTTATGTTTTCCATTAAGCCAGAAGCATGATGTTATTTGATATTTATATTTATAACCTGAATTTTAGCACCTAAATGTAATGTTCTCCTATGGATCCCTACATTAAAATATTTTTTGTTAGGAAAACAATGACAAAAACACTCCAGGCAAAAAAAGAGCCAGTGCCAAGGCCACGTGATGGAAACATATCTGGGTGTTGGTGAAATAGCAAGGAGACTTGTGTGGCTGGCAAAGCAAGATCAGGGTAAGAATAGTAAGAGATGATTTCAGAGCCTGATCATATAGACAGAGTCACTGTAAAGACTTGGGCTTCTACTCTACATAAGATGAGAATTACTTGGAAATTTTGTGCAGAAGAATGACATGATTTTTCTTGACGTATATTTTTAAAATTAAAAAAATAGATTAAAAGAAGCAGAAAGCAGAAGCAGGGAGACTAATTAGAAAGCTACAGCAACAAGCTACACCCTGGCTGGGTGGTTCAGTGGGTTGGCTGTTGTTCCACAAAAGAAAAGGTCACTGGTTCCACTTCTGGTCGGGGCACATATCTATCTGGGTTACTGGTCAGGTCCATGGCCGGGGCATGTGAGAGGAAACCAATCAATGTTTCTCTCCCTCTCTTCCTCTTTTCCCCTCTCTCTAAAAATAAATAAATAAAGTCTCAGAAAAAGAAGAGGAAGTAAGAAGAAGAAGAAGGGGGAGGAGGAGGAGGAGGAGAAAGCAAGCTGTGGCAACAATCCAGGAGAAAACTAATGATGGTTTAGGCCAGGTAGCAAGATTGGGAGTAGGAGTAGGATTCCTAGTATATCAATAGAGTAAACGGGATATACTGACAAATAGGATGTGGGATGAATCACAGGGTGAATAAAGGGGACAGAGAGGGCGCTGCGCAGGAAGCCTGCGAGTCTCAGCTGGAGTTTCAGCCCCATCTCACATTCGCAGTGTTACATGAGGAGAGAAAAACCTCATTTTTCATACCTACAAAAATGGGCTAAAATATCTTCTGAATTTCACAAGGCTCTAAGGAATGTAATGTCTGTACAAAAGTTAGCTTGCTTAGAATTGACTAACAGCTGTGTGTTTCCTTGTGCACGTTCATTGGTCTGAGCAACCACAGTGGTGAGATTGAAGTCAAATCTGGAATGTTTTGGAAACAACATTACAGTTTTCAGGAATTAGTTGAGGAGGCTTTATTTTCAAAAACCTCTTTCTTGATGATCTAAGAATGATATTACAGGAAAGTTTGTCTAAGAAAAGTATTTTAACCAAAGCCTTGCAGATTTTGTTCTCTTTAAACTTGAGTTTACATAATGTTACCTAGTTGGTAATTCATAAATTCTTACCTCCTCTTTCCTCTAAAGTCTCACTTTTAGTTTTAGTTTTATTGAAGCACAAAGGGATTCCCACCCCACCCTTTTCTCTGTCTCACAGTAAGTTTACCATCACCCTGGAATTTTTCTAAATTTTTACCAAGAAAAAAAATTATGTAATTGAGTTACTCCAAGTGACTCAAATGTTTACAACTTTCTCAATGTGGTTTAGATATAGAAAACTCAAGCTGCTTCTTTTTAATTCACAAATTCAGGAGCAGCACTTCAAGATGAGTGTGGAGAGGGAGCCTGTCCCAGGGCTGTGGCCGCAGGAGTCACAGGGCAAGACCCTCCCTTCCTCCTCTTCTCTTCCTTCTTTGTGACCCTCCCTAGTCTTGTCCATCAGAACCTACCTATTCCAAGTCCACAGCTCTCAATATCTTGCAAGGTAACTGATAATCTACTTAATAAGCCAGTTTAAATATAATTGTTAGTGATTAAAGAGGGATTAGTCCTATGGCTCTCAGCATTTTAAGGGGAACTCCTAGAAGGGTAATTACTAGACTGCTTAGGCACTATGACTACAGATAGCTGTTTAGTAAGTGCTTCCTTTGAAAAAGACTCATGAAGTCTTCCTTCTCATAAAGTGGTCTCCGTTTTTGTCTATACCGTAAGTGGGTTGTCTTCAGTAATTTTTTTTTTGATAAATGATTAGATACTTATTAAGGAGAAGCAGAAACAGGGAGAGAGGGGGACCTGCCCAGTCTGCACTGACCTGGGTAAGGGTCTTAGGGGTGCAGTGGGGAGCTAGAGAAAGGAGTGTCTGGCTGAGGAGAGACCCTGATGGTGGGGGACTCAGGGTCCTAAGAACACTGTGTGGGGGGACCACTGTCCTCACAGTGTTCCCTTCGTGGGTGATGTGGCAGCTGTAGCTGAGGCTTGATTTCCACTTGTCAGACATCAGGCTCAGGTAGCTGCTGCCCATGTAGTTGTTTTTGTTCTGTTTTGAAGCTTGGTGGTATCCACAGACTGGGTGATGAGACTGCCATTTGCCTTCCTGGACACCATCACACGGCCAGGGTAGAAGTCACTAATGAGATACACGAATGCAGCCTTGTTGTTGAGTTCCTCAGGGGAGGGCAGAAACCAAGTGACCAAAGGTACAAACTTGGGCTGACCCAGGATGGGGAGCTGAGTCCTGCCCCAGAGGACATACCACAGTGAATGAGGCCCAGACTAAAACCCATCAAGCCAGCACCTGGGACCTGTCCCCAAGAGGCCAATAGGAACCTATAGTCCCTCAGGCTCCAAAGGCTGCTCCTGCTGGGACTTGGGGGCCTGGCACGCTACTCTGAAATGTTGCTGTCGGGGCAGCAGGCCATGGGTGGCCATGGCCAGGCAGAGCAGCATCAGCAGCCAATGCTGCTTGGGGCCAGGGCTCTGTCCTCGGGAGTCCTCATGGCCCACTTGGCCTGTCATGGTCCTCATCTTTCTGCAGGGTCAAAGGTAACTCCAGCCTGACCTTCAGTGTGAACTCCCTGGAGGGGGTAGGTGCTGTTGGCGGGTGATCCTGGTCCTCACTGGCAGTGGCCATCCAAGCATGCCCTAGCCTGAATAACCCCACCCTCTTCCTGGGCCTTCTCTGGGACCCGCCCTCAGTGCCCAGTCCTCTCCAAGGTTGGAGATCTTCTTTAGGGTAGCATCTGACAACTCCCTTGCTGTGGCTGGGATCCATATTCAACCATCTCCCACCGTAACTCCTGCTGGCTTCGCCCCTGGGGTGCTGGGTGGGGGCACACTTGCTCCTGCCCTTCTAGTCCAGTTCCCCAAGGCCGCCTCTAGTCTCTGGAGCATCTTCCTGGGGCCTGGAGGGTCCACAGAGGGCAACCAAGTGCCCAGTGGATGAGGAACTGATCTCCTTGGGCTGGGCCTTGGGTTTCTCTTCTGACCAGGTTTCACTCTCATTCTGTCACATGCACGCTGTGGGGTTTTCTAAGGAGCTTCATGACCTGTCATGTTAACATCACTCTGATGGCTCAAAGAATGTGGGCTTGTACATTTTCATTTTTAAAATTGGTCCGTTTTAATTTCAGATATGGTAAATATTAACAGACATAATTCACTTCACAAAAACCCTCTGGGGTCTTTAAAAATGTCTTTAAGCATGTCAAGTGGTCTCAAGACCTAAATATTTGACGATTGCTGCTTTAAATATCCTGCCTGATATGGTAATGAGATACGAGAAATATTGCGAAACCAGAGTCAGGGTGGTAATTCCTACTGAATCCAAAACTGTCTGAGGTAACCAGGGGCATCAGAGACATCTGATTTGTGATGCTGTGGATGGTCAGAAATGTCAAGGGCACCTTTAGAGGGTGAGAAAGCGTGGAGGGGAGAGTTTTACACATGGAGAGAAACTACAAGAATCATCATTAACATCTATGTTTCCCACATGCCCCAAGAGAATATAGAGAAACAAATATCTGGAGTTGAAACTTTTAATTCAATATTTTATACAAATGTAAGAAATAATACATAATTAAATAACACCTGAAAAGGTTACTAAATATATAAATACCCAATTCAACAGTGAAAACAACTTAAGCTTTCATTTCTAGGTCGCTGGATAAGGAAAAGAAAAGACACTGAAAAAAATTGCTAATTTGGTATTATGATTATTAAAGAGTTCAAAAATTGTCCCATTAGTTAAAACAATGTAGTTAGGACAAAGGGAATTGCACGCTCACCCATGCTTCCTCTACTACTGGGAAGAGAGAGCTCGTGGGAGGGAAGAAAGGAGAAACAAAGCATCCGAACTGGCCAATTGCTATTTAGGAAACTCCCTCAGTGCTTGCTTTTATAATATATTTTCATTATACTAGTCTGAATGCAGAATGACTAAAATAGGGCCAGGTCCTATGATGAGACAAATGGACAAAGAGTGCATGCTTTTTTTGTTTTTGAAACAAGTGGGAGCTGCTATCTAAGACTAACAATATTTATTCTGCTATAAAAATAAGTAAAATTGAAGTCACCAATGTTATTTCACAATAAATTCAATCCCATTTTCATGGTGGTCAGTGTCATAGCACTACATGAAGAACAGCAGTGAAACCAAGGGTTCTAGAGAGAGCAGTTATTAACAAAGCAGGAAGCAGGCGGTGGACCAGATAGCAAGTGACAAGGAAACAGACTCATGAACCTAAGAACGGGGAAGAAGAGAGGGAACCATCACAGAAAAGCAAAAGGTAATCTCAGAAAAAAGTTCTTTGGTCCTAACCTTTCCAATTTTTTTTTTCAGATCTTTTCCCTTTTCCCGGGATTTCTTCATTTTTTTAGAGCAGAATGGCAAATGATTTGGCCCAACTTCTTAATTTTCTGGATGCCATCATGGAAATTCACCGAATAATGTGATTAACAGGGTTGGTGCCAGTCTCAGGCAAAGTCAGTCTCAAGCTGTGGCCACTGATTCTGAGTCCGGCATCCGTTCAGTAGCACAACACTGCGCTGCTTTACAAAATCAGTTCCTACAACAGACCTGAGGATCAGACGACTTCCTCCGGGAACTCACACAGGTATTGGGAGCTTAGATGGCAGTAGGAAGTCTTGAAATTCTTAGGCCTTTTATTTCCACCTCTTTTGCTCTCATAGGTCCCTGGAGATGACCCTTTCTTCCTGCATCAGCTTCAAGTAGACCAGTGACGAATGTTCAGGATTCTGTGACTCTTCTAAGGCTCTGAATGAAGAAAGACCAAGATTTTAACTTTGCACATTTATAATTTCTGTACTAATAGATTATAAGAAGATAAATAACAGAAAGGTCAATAAACGTAGAATTATCCTCATGCAAATTTCATCAGCACAGATAAGGAATTAGACATGTTTGATGAAATGTGATGTGAAGGGAATGTGGCCCTCTTTAAAAGACAGGGAATTCTAGGAAATAAAGGTCTGCAGAACCACTTAAGACTACAGGTAAAAGAACACGTTCAAGAATTCCAAATGATCTATGTGGATTTTATTTATAAGATCTTGAGCTTTGTTTCCCGTAGATGCTGACTTGCTGGGCATAAGCTTAGGAATGGTCGCAGAGAAGACAAATGGAGACACTCTCCAGGGCGATCGGCTTGCTAGCACCGAAAGTGGGAGAACATGGGCCTCCCCACAGCATGCAGAGAGAAACAAAAGACCTGAAATTTTGTCTTGGTGTCACTCTGTAATCTTAAGTATTTCTTACAAAACCCTGGAAAGTTCTGCATGTTTGAATATTGCCAGTATTTCTAGTGTGAGCTGTGGCAAAAGACACATAATAGCTCAGGTAAGAATGCCCAGGGTCAAAGGTCTGTTAACCAGTAACTTCATGACCAGATTATATCACAAAATTTTTATGTGATGGGTGGCATTTGCACTCTTTCAAGGGTAAAATTTTGTAGAAAAATAGGCTTTGAGATGCAAGATTTATTATAGCCATTCTGACCTAGGATTTTAATAAAGGTTGCTTAAACACTTTTCTCATGTAACGCATTACAGTTCTTCCTGGAACTATGAGGAAATTGGGGTAAGGATGAGAATTACCACTCATCCAACTGTCATCTGGAAAGCATAAATATAATTATTTAGCAAAGCAAAAATTCTTATATTATTTTTGGAAACGAATTTTTTGTATTGTCCTTCCAGTTTCACCACTACAAGTTGTTTATTGATCATCTCTGTTATCTGACAGAGTACTAAGTTTAAAATAGGAGAAAGTAGCATGATTCTGCTCAGGATGTAGTGTTTTACCCACGCTGCCATTGTTATCCTTGCAAAGAGCCCACTAATAAGTTAGGTTATTAGGAAGTGAAGTGAAAGAAATGTGGGTAAAAACCCAAAACACTTCTACATGACATAGATATACTCTTGAAGAAAAAGTGAAGCTTGGAACATGTATTTCATATGAATGTCTAAATTTTTTATTGTTGTCTAGTTCAGCCTTATGTCAATGAAGAAAACTGCTACTCAAAATAAAAATTTCTAAAAATTAAGTGATAGTCTATGCTGATCTGCCCTGAAGTGTTGTTTCTGAGAAGCATGTAATCATTTTGGGGTTGACTAATGAGCAATAAAAGATTATTTTCAAACCCAGATTGACTTGATTGTAGATGCGGAAAGGACAGATTTATGACACCAATTTGGTTTTAATGGGCACAGACAATGGGGTGGGGGTTGACTGGGAGGGGCGGGGCAGGGGAGAGCAGCAGCAGGGGGAAAAAGGTGGGACAATAGTAACTGAACAAAAATAATAAAAAAAGAAATAACTGTTATAGAATGGTAGAAAATTTCCCCGGGAAATTTCGATTTTTTCTCATTTTCTATTTCAGTAATAAAGGAATTGATTCATAAAAGAAAAAAAAAGTTCTTTGAAAACTTATGAACATATTATCTTACTGTTTCAGTCTCATGAGAAGTAACTATAATGATCCCTTCAGGAATGGTGCAAAGAGAAATTGCATCATACCTTCCTTCGCTAGGCAGCTTAACTGTGGAGACAAATCAAAATCACACTCTCTGGCGTTATACAAACCCACAAGAAAAGTGAACAGAGTCGAGCTTCATAAAAATAATGTAGTTATTACAGATTATGCCTCTGCCTAAAAACTATTAATGTGTTTGTGCTTTTGTGAGCAGCCAAATAAGCTTTTTTTGGTCATTTAACTCACAAAGAGTTGCAACTTACTTCACAAATTTTCCTTACCTACCAGGTGTGTCTCCCTACTGAGCAGTTCATGGAGATTACTCTTTGTCCGCTCACATTCACTGAGTTCAAGAACTAATTCACCTCTCCCCCCCCTCCTCTTTCCACAAACCGAGTGCACGCCTGCTCAACCACACATACACTCAGTTCCCCTCTATTTCTAGTTACGTCGGCATTTTTCAAGTCAAGTCAAGAATCTTGGAGACATTTTCCCTGCCCTTCCAAAAGTTTGAAGTTTTCAACAAATGAAAAAAAAAAAAGAGAGAGAGAAATTACCAAAAGTAAAAGGAATGATAGAAAGCAAAGTCAGTAGGACTATTCATTTTTTTCCACAGACTGACAATCACATTCTGTCACTTGAAGACATAAAAATTATTTTTCTCCCCTTCTTCCAATTTTGTGCAACTTAAATTTTGGTCTTAAATGAGTATTTCCTTAGCCTTAAATATTTAAGTCTCCATAAACAACTGGTTTTACTAGCTATTTGAATATATGTCATCAAGCGATCTGGCTCTGTTAAAATTTTTGAAACCAGCCAAAAAATCCAGTCACTCAAAACATAAGTGTTAATTAACTGAGTTGACCGTCTGTGAAGAAGACATCATCAGTGAACGGCAATCCCAGTGCTTACAAGATCTGATACAAGTTTGGTTGTTTATGGCAGTTCCCTTTTTTTTTTTTACATTTAAGGTTATTATTTTTAAGGTTATTATTATTATTATTTTTCCCCTCATGGCAGTTCCCTTTTATTCACAGTTCTACTTTCCACCATTTCAGTCACCTGCAGTCAACTGCAGTCTAAAATATAACATAGAAAATTGCAGAAATAAACAATTCCCAGGTTTTTAAATTAACCTATTGGGTTGAAACTGGTTAATAAAATAGGTTTCAAGTATACAATTCTATAATTCATCATCTATGTGCTGCATGTGTTTACCACCCTAAGTCAAAGTTCCTCTCATGACCGTATGAGGGGGAACTGCCCCTCAAAAGCCAGAATTAACTTCTGGAAGGTGGGCCCCTTGTAGTTCAGGCTTCCCCAACTAGGTGAGTGTTCTAAGAACCCACCTGTATCAGTGAACCAGCTGGAGTTGTTGTGAGACGCTGCACTAGGCCTCAGTGAATTTTTTTGAAGATTCTTTCAATGCATTTGCCCATTTCATGACAGGTAATTTTTGGGTGCACCTGCCCACACCGTGCTGAGTGTTCACCAGTTTCCGACCGAACACAGCATGGTCCTCATGCCCTACCCTCCCTATTCACCTGATCTTGCCCCTAGTGACTTACTTTTTTGTTTCCCTGGCTGAAAAAAGTCCTCGAAGAAAAACTGATGTGGAAGAGGTAAAACACAAAATGGCAGAAGCACTAAAAGGCAGCCAAACTGATGAGTTCAAAAACTGTTTTGAGTGGTGGAAAAAATTTCTCCATAGGTGTATGGAGACACCAAATGGAGAGGGTACTTTGAAAGTGACTGAAGTTTAAGCATTGGTAGAATAAATACACAATTTTTTAATAAGTAAATTCCATTTCTGGACTCCCCCTTTGTATATTTGACCCCTTTTATCCTTTACTACTTAAATTTTGTACTGTTCTGAATTGCGTAATGAAATCTTACATGGCTATGGCTATACTCCATCCCACGAGCTCGGGAATCATCCCTTCGCCCAGCAAATCCATGCTGTGTATCCTTCCGGCCCATTAGTCAGTTAGCAGCCATCCAGGTTATCAGACCAACTGCAGCCACAGGTACCTGCTGTGCTTGTATTCAAATAACCCTTATTTTCATAACAATGCCCTGTTACATAACTTTATTACAGTATACTGTTACCGCTGTTCTATTTTATCATTAGATGTTGTTGTTAATCTCTTACTGTGCTTCATTTATAAAGTAAACTTTATCAGAGGTATGAATGTACAGAAGAAAACATAATATCTATAGAATTCGGTACTATGTACAGTTTCCAGCATCCACTGGAGGCCTTGGAACATATTTTCCTTAGATAAGGGGCAACTGCTATATCCCACAAATGAGAAAAAACCTGGGTACAGAGATAAGCTGACTCTTTCTGTTTCCGGAACTGGATAAAGCATTGAACAATTAATTATATTTCCCAGGCATTCAAGACTGACTGAATGAACAGAAAATACTGTTTTCCAAATGCCCCTTTCTAGTGGAATTCACCTTGGGCTTGAATAGATTGTATTATGATTCTTGTCCAAAAGGGACTTTTAAAAATGAATGTGAACACTTTGTACTTTTCTGCTTAAACTTTCCAAAAGAACACAATAGTGACAGCAAGCACAGAGTGAAGGAAGTATGATGGAAAACAACAGTGCCTTTCAAGTGAGGAGTCCAGGGCATCCTGACTGGGACAACATCCTGGCAGAGGTCAGGAGACCAGGGAGGCTTAAGCCTGTTGTAAACTACTAGCTGTGTGACCTGAGGGGTGAATGTCAACTTTCCCCTGTGGGCTTCAGTTCCTAACTGGAAAAGTAAAATGTTCACTGTTTGGGATGTCAAATGCAGAATCAGCCTTCTGCATCTGACATTCTGCAAATTGCTCATGAGGTCTATAGGCTTATATTTACATGCAATAACATCAGCTGGTCGAAATGTCCTCTCCTTGACAGAACAAATATATTTACCTACCCTGCGAAGGGGTGATTGACACATGAGATTTGTTGCTTTTCTTGTAAACCCACAAGAATTAATCTGCTATTTGTAAAAGTCTAATGCAAAACTAAGTGCTCAACAAACCTAGAACCTGAAAGATATTAGTCTATGGGACAGAAAATGAAAAGAATAAAAAAGGTTGCATCTGAGTGAGATTTTTAACGGACATCTAAAATAACACTCAAAGCCAATATCGTTTTTTCTTCCCTAATTTGCAGTCATCTGAGATGGAGAAAACTTCCATATCACCCTTTGACCCTAGGAAATTCCCATCACACCCAATGTAAACAGCAGTTTTGCATTGGCTTTAATAAATTATGTCTTCAGAAACCAAAGAAATGTAACTCCCTTTCTCTAGTTGATGCTATAGCATCTACCTGACTCCCATTTTATAGCATCTCTAGTTTTATAATGTCTCACCATGTTTTAGACTTGGCATTTATAAGGTACTGAATTTATAATAAGAAAAGGGAAGTTAAAAAAAATCAGTTTTTAAATCTGCCCTTCTATTCATGAACTCATTTATTCACTATTTTAATGAATGTTTATTGAACACCTGGTATACCATCAGACGCTGTGGTAGATGCTTGGAGGGAACCAAGAGGAATTTATAGTGTTTGAGTGACATGACACAGTTATGTAAGTGTGGGTCACCTGAATGTTGCTTATGATGTTTGAGACATAGTCAGAGTATAACACAGAAACTACCACTTAATTAATGATCATATTGGACAATTTCATAGTATCTTAAATAGAACAGCTGGCTATGGGAGGCTATAAAAAGAGAAGAGCTCCCCCCCTCACTAATCGATAGAAAGAACACACATGGGTGGCAAACTCCTTTCTCCGATTTTGTCATCATATGATTTCACAGTCATCAGAAAATATTTTCCATGTTTCTTCTCATTAGCCCTTACTCTCAACTTACAAAACAATTAGCCTTTAAACGATCTCAGCAAATCAAAAGCAGAAACATCTGGTTTAACGTCCAATTGCAAGAAAATGATACTGAAATGTGGTTTTAAAATATTATGAACATTTATGTAATTTGGAAACAATAAATAAAGCACTTGTTACCATGCCTTTATTTATATCTTCATACGACTACCAAATTATCATTCAAAAATCATGTTTCCTTCTTTACACTTCCTGTAGCAGCTCACCTCTGTCTTGGGTCCGGCGACGTTTCCAGTATAGTAAGATTGAGATTAAGATCAGAAGAATTACCAGGGAAACAATACTTAACAGTAGTGGAACTGAAAACCAAAAACCTGCAGATATGGAAGGGAAAAAGGGGAAAAAGGGAAAACAAATTCATAAAAGGAAGCTTTTGAGAAAAAAAATTAAGCAACAGTTGTGAGTTTTTACTGAAGTTAAGCTTTCAATGAAAATTATTATTAAGTGTATATATATTGATGTCTGTATTCATGTTATATATATATTTTAAAAACATTTAGATAATAATAGCTATAAGAGCTTTGAATGTATTATCTCATTTAATCCTCAAAATTGCCCATGAATTAGGTATTATTATTATCTAATATTTAAAAAAGTAACCCTGAGGATCAGAGAAATTAAACCTAAAATCTGCATAGTAAGTGGTAGAACCATGGCTTGTTTAGAGGTCTCTTTGCCATATCTGACCATTGAAGTAATATGTTTATTGAGGAAGTTTTAGAAAATACAGAGAAATATAAAGGGACAAACATTATAAATGTTATAATTTACTTTTGGCATTCTTTGAAAAGGAAACATTGTTTTTCAGATTACTGTTTTTCAGGAATATTGCTGCACTATAACTTTTAAATTTTTTTGTTTATTGATTTTAGAGAGAGAGGAAGAGGGAAAAAGACAGAGAAATATCAATTTGTTGTTCCACTTATATATGCATTCACTGGTTACTTCTTTGTATGCGTCCTGACCAGGAATCAAACCCACAGCTTTGGGATATTGAGACAATGCTCTACCCAACTGAGCTACCTGGCCAGGGCTGCACTATAGCTTTCTTATGAAAGCATTTAACATGCAGTTTTTTTCAACTGCTCAGCCACTTCAATATTTTCCAATTAGACTAGATGCTCTCTGAGTCTTGCTCACTATACAAAGCCCGGCACACAACAGATACTCGGTAATACATTAGCATGGAAAATAAATGAGTGAATGGATCTCAGCATTTGGTACGTGGGAGCCATGCCACATTTACTAAAATAACACTGGCTTTATTGGCTTCTTCAACTCTGTTTTTCTTTCCCTACTTAATCCATTTTCTCCTCATTAGCTCCTTTGCTAAGAAGCTGAAAGGTTCTGCAGAACTTTCTCCACTTTCCAGATGTGTGTACATAAGTGTGACCATAGCCATCTTTGACCATGTTCTCTTACCATTGTTTAGAGCTTGCCGGAAGTCAGTCAGGGTGCCCAGGTGCTGCACCTGGCAGATCACCTCATTCCCCACTTGATTCTTGGGGTCTTTGACCTGGAGGACACTGATGACAGATGTGGTCCCATTGGGATGAGAGATAGTCTCAGTACTGTTGTCCATTCCTGACCCAGAGACCTTCCAGGAGATCAAAGGGGCTGGGCGGGCATTGGCAGAACAAGTGACATTTAGATGGCCTTCAAAGTATTTAGTGTGAAGGAATACTGTGGGCTGTACTGGGACAAAAAAAAAAAGATTGTCTGCCGTCAGTTAGTTACCTTGCTTGAGTTTTGTCCCCTCCCAAGAAAAATGACAGAATGGGGACTAGAAAGATAAAGTAGCATGTCCATCCCGACTGAGGCCTTCTAAATTCTACCTGTGTGTGATTCTCTCATCCACAAGATGGAGACTGGCACGGTACAACCCTGTGACCAAAAATCCTCTCCGTAGTTTGTAGGTGAGTTAGCTGAATGGACAAAGGATGTCTTCCCTCTCAAATAGCCCAGAGCCCAATTACTCTGTTTTCCTTTTTCATGAGTAATGCAGCATCTCTCCCCTTTTCTGGGTATCGCTCACAAATAGTTTGACAATGACCACCAGTGAGCACCTCCGTATAAGTAGCCTGCACAACTCAGAAGCAGCAGGGCAGTTTCAGAGCACAGAGCCCATTGAGGGACTGCTGCTTAGTGATAGCAGTTTTCTTTTCGGAACTGAATGAAGAAATAAGTTGTACAGAAGAACTCAGAAAATCACTGGTTACATATCCATACAAAATGCAAATTGGAAATTGGTAGCCAATAATCAGAAAATCACAGAATGACAGATGAAGAACCTTTGAGATCACCTTATAAATTAAGAAAACATAACTAGCTTATGGAAATAGGACATTATTTTTAGGCCAGCTTTACCCTGTTCCCCTTTTTAAAGTCACTTGACTAATGGGTTCATTTTCACTGGAATACAGTTCATCTCTGCTGAACAAAATACAGACCTATCTTTCTGTGGTTGGCTTTGTGGCCCACAAGATAATTAGAGGGCAGTGCTAAATTAAAAAGTCGTCTGCATTTAGAAGTTAAAGAGGAGGATGAGTGGCAGTGGGCTGGAGGAAACAGGCCTCTAAAGGCCTGTGGCTGTGTCCAAAGAAGGCCGAGATGACTAACACCAACGAGTACTGGGAAAGAGAGATTATGGCTGATGTGGCCAGACTGCGTGAAGGGGCTCTCTGGTATATCAAAGAATGACAGATAAAAGCTCAGTGTGTGTGGAAAAGGTCTGTGTAGAAAAGAACAACAATATTACTAGCTGGAAGAGTCTGATTTTCAGGCAAAAAGAAATGAAAAAGATTATGAGTAAAGGAGGGAGAATAGCAGAAAAAGAGAAAGATGAGCAAAGAAAATGTAAAAGGAACAGAAATGAGAAACATATGACACAGGAAGGAAAAAGAAGAAAAATTAGATAGGAGGAAGGAAGGGAGCAAAAAAAGGATGGAGAGAGGGAGGAGGAGAGGAAGAAATGAAGAGGAGGAGAACACGGAAAGGAATGACAAAAAGAAGGAGGACTGGAAAGAGAGGGAAGCAAGAGAGAGACTGAGAAAGCCAGATGGAAAGAAAGTAGGTATGAAGAAGGCCCAACGTAAGATCCTGAAGAGAGGATTCGTTATAGTGAAATAAGTGGAAGATTTCCTCCCTTGCATTCTTATGGTCCCTCTGGGGCGTTCTCATCTACGTAGCCTTCTCTCGCCCTATAACCGATATATTTGGTAGGCTCAAACTCCGACATGAACATTCCTAATTAAAACTGTTTAAGCTGGTCTCTTCCCTCCTAAAACCACCCCTAAGGTGTTGTAGACCGCTCTGCCTGGTTCTAGGAATTGTATCTCGACCCCTTGTGGCTAAGAGCGAGGGATGACCTTTGGAATGCGAGCCGAAGGAGACAAAGCTTATCTCTGGTAGCAAACGCTGCCTCAGTTTCCTCTCCCTGCCCCCAGAGCTTGGTCGGAAGTCAATGACAGGTAAGACCCCTCACAGTGGGGGGCAACCTAAGCCAGACTCAATCACTTGGGAGGCCTTCATGGAAGGACTGGGGTGGGGGGGGGGCTGCAACAAAGAAAGAGCAATTGACTCTCGCAAGGCCCCCCGCCCCTGCTTTGACATAGCTCGATGTCCTCTGGGAGAAGCGTTTCCTGGCTCTAATCCCCTTAAGCCTGAATACCTGTTGGGGAGACGTGCAGCTCCTTGCCTTGCTAGAGCGTGTCCTGGGGAACAATCTGGCATCACAAAGACTTGCTGATTAACCTGCGAAATCTGCTCTGCTAAGAGTGCTTTCATTCATATGTTAAGGGTTTGAGCAGGAAACCCTAAAACTCTGTTCCTGACAGATTCTGACTCATACTTAGCCACAAGGGGTCGAGATACAATATTTCTTTGAAATGTTATCTACTGTTTGATCCTTGCCCCCCCTGTATTCCTGTGTATTACAACCCAATAAAAGGCTATGGAGGAAGGCGCTCGGGGCCTTTTTCTCCTCGGAGAAACTGGCCGCAGCTGGCCTTTTTCTCCTGAGAAACTGCCCACTGCCCACTTCTCCTCCCCAAGCAGATCACGTCAGTCATGTCTTGGCCCTATTTATTCACTTGTGTCCCTGGTACTTGGGGGGACTTGTGAGAAAGCGGCTCCCACACTAAAGGTGCCATGCTCCACAGTTACCCCTTATTCCTACTTCTCAATTCTTTATCTCAGCTATGTGTCAGTTAAGAGGAAAGGAATCTTGTCTAACTAAGCCTTAGATTTTTAAAAATATTTTTATTATCCAGTTAATTTTCTAGTTACATCAGGTATGAAGAACCTTTGCTACAAGGTCCCCTTATCAACCAACCCGAAGAGAGCTGTGATGAAACAAAATGAGAGGGCCCACCACAACTGGCCCCGGGTTAGCCCACTCCGGCTCTGATCGTACACCCAGGAGGTTAAAGCTACTAGAGACACTACAGTTAATCTCTGTCACGCTTCCTGTGGAGAAACTAACTTTGGTGCAAAGGGTGGACAGGACTCTTCTATGGTCACATGATTGCTAACATCGAAGCCAGGTCTGCATCCTATCACTGCGTATGGAGAACTTTTCCTTACCATGACCCTTCATTGATTCCTGCTGACAATGGGATTCCTCAAAACAAAGATAACTCCAGTCAGAAATTCAGTGTAGCCCCATGGACTCTCCAGTAACACAGTCACAGTTACAGTGGACATGAAAGGCCAAGCATCTTCTAATAAGCATTTCTGGGGTTAGGACCCTGAAAAACTAGGTACTACCACCATGTTCCAAACATTCTTGAAAAATAACATTTCTAGTCATAGAAAAAGTATTCTCAGAGATTCTCACCAAAGAGAATGAGGCAGGGTTCTCCCACCATCTTCCCAGCACCGAAGGTGTTGAAGAGGCACCGGTAACACCCCTCATCCTCCAGAGTGGTGTTCCAGAAGGTAATGGTCGTGTTCCGAAGTCCCAGCTCAGTTATGTTCATCTTATTCTTAAAAGCAGGCTGGACCACAACCCCATGTTCATTGCTGAAGGTGACCATGTTTTCTGGACTTACAGCCTTGACTTTCTGCCATGTCACAATCAAGACTTCCTGGGAAGATTCCAGAAAGCACTGTAAGGAAGCAGGTGTGTTCATCTTCTCTCTTTTGTTTTGGGTCAGCACTTTCATCATGGAATCACAAGAAAAGTTATATTTTAAAATTTAATACATATAGACATGCATGCTTTTCTGACTAAAAACAATATAGGACCAAAGTCAAATATAGAAAATATAAAGAAAATGCAAAGAAAACAGGTGTTGCCAAGTTAATACAATTTCAAATATCTTTTTTCCATCTTTAAAAGTAGCAGAGTAGACAAATGCGAAGTTAAATTCTCAGTCACAAAAATTATGTGAAGAATCTCTGTATGTTGGAAAGTAGTGGAATAAGACTGAAAAGGCTGAAGGTAGAAACTGGAAGAAAAGACAGAAGCAGTACCAAGTGAGTTTGTGCTCGGGGAGGCAGAAGCCAGGAGCAGGGAAGAGCTGATGGACAACAGGCAGGGTGATCAGTTTGAATAAAGAAGTACAGCCATATACATGCCACACACACACACCCTACAAAGGAAGGTGTCTGCCTCCAGGAAGCTGGAGTGAATGTAGCAACATAACTTAGACAAGGTTCCAGGAGGCGGACAGTAGCAGAGCGCTTTTACAACAAAGGGCAGTCTATACATTGTCCCAGTTTTACTGAATGCAGCGCAGAACATAAGGCATGGCAGTAATGTCTTCCCTTTCCAATGCTGGCTACTCTGATTGACAAGAGATTATTAAATGGGAATCTCAATATAATAACAAATAGCCAAACATGTGTGAAAGTTAGCACAATGTAAGAGGAGCGGTAAACTTTACAAGTTCAAAAATTCATATCTAACAAAGAAAGATTTCATATATAAATAAATAAACACTTGGACAAGAATAAATATGATATCTTAAGTATAAAAAGAAGCCAGCATTGTAAATAGTAAAAATTAGAGATGTAGAGAATAAGCTATGTAAAAATCTAAACAGATTGGCTGAATTTAGCAGAATGGATATCACTGAGGAGTAAGTGAGTGTGAGAAAGACCAGGTCATGGAATTCTCCCAGAATGCAGCACAAAGGAATTAAGATATGCAAGGAATTAAAGAAAATCTCTAAGACCTGAAATGTTTCAACATCAGTTCAATGAGACTTTTTAAAGTCTGATTGAAGAGAAAAGGGCGACTGGAAAGCAAAAACACTGTAAGGTATATATTTATATATCTTTTTAAAAAATATATGTATATTTCAAAATAATAAAAGGAACAATCTAAAATAAGATATATTAATCATACATCTCTATACATCTAAAAAAACTCAAAAATGTAAAAAGCTAATAGAACTACAAAAAAACATAAATCCACAATCGTAATGGGAGAGTTTCCATAGTTTTCTCAGAACTTTTACTTTCATATATTAAAAAAGAAAGTAAAGCAAAAAAGTCAAATATGAAAACATAGATTTTAAAAACAAATATTATATTTAAATTACATATGTAAGCATTTATAACCTTTTACCCAAAAGAGAATATACAATCTTTTCTAAGACACATGAAATATTCCCCCAAATTGAATTTGAGATAGAATACAAAAATATGTGCTACCTTATGACCTTGAACACTAGGCACAACACAATAAAATTAAAAAAATTGACGTGCTTCTTTTAACTAATTACACTAGAAGTCATAGCAAAAATCATAAATTACTATAAATGACATTGAGAATATAATATCTTAAAGTCTGTTGAAAGTAATAAAGCAGATCTTAGACAGCAATATTTAATCCTTACTTTATTTATTCGAAAAAAAGAGAGATTGAAAAATGAATAAACACAGAATTCCTGACATCCTCCACCTTCGACCAAAAAAAAAAGTAAAAGGAGTTCATTAATAAAGGCAAAATAACCAATTAATGAAATAGTACACAAAATGGAGACAATAAAAAAACACCATAATCTTTTAAGACTAATAATATAGATTAAATATTGGCTAGTGTAATTAAAAAAAGAAATCAGTACAAACAAACAATATTTGCTCAACAACCCCTCAACCATATCAGGCATAAAATAATGGACATAGCAAGAGATACAATTGGACCCCCTGAGTGTTGTTTGAATCCAGTTTTTGTGTGATGTGCTCTTGGTAGATGTGAAAAGTTCTGCGGATAACACTTGTTGGGATTGGGGTTGCCTAAATGTTTGTTGAGATTCTACAAATCAGGGATTTGAAGAAAATGCTGTTTTCAAAATGGAGAGTAGAAAAGGATCAAAGCTAGAGTTTTAACTTCTTGGGTGATTTTTCTCTTTAATTCTAGAGAAACCATTTAGCATAATGTTTGTAATTCTTTACTGCTTATATAGAATTTGCCCACAGTCAGTCAGTAAATCCTGTTTTGCAGGTGGTATGAAGTCTGTCCTTCCTCCACCTATGAAGACTAAAAAGCTCCATGTCACACAGGTGATGAAAGACAAGCAGCAAAGCGAGGGGCGGGTGACCTCCAATGGAACAGAGATGAAAAGTCGGGCACAACTAGGAGATGCAGCAGATTAGTGATCAGCACAGGCATGTTTTTTATCATAGACTATGTGAACTTCTGTAACATTTATGTTTCATTATTTTCTATATTTTTCTGTGAAAGAGGGGCACACCCAGTTTTAAGACTTACTGCCAGATTACCTTTCCAAAAGGTTGCATTCATTCATACTCCCCCAAGTATTCCCATACCTTTACAAACATAGGTAATTACTGTGTCAAAAGTTATTTGACTCAATATGTAAAAAATATCTTAATTTAGAATTTTTCATGCCTAGTTTTATCTACCAAAACAGTGTCTAAATAGCAAAGTCTTCTTTCACTTTGAGAACAAAAATGTTTTGGAAAGCAGAAAGAACCACTCCCATTCCTCCAATCAAATTATATGTTTAAATAATTCATACAGACAAATGAACCAGCACAGCAGAAACAACAGTGGCCAGAATGTCTTTACTCTAGAAATCAGGTTTCCTGGACTCCAAACAGGGGATGTGAGTATCTTTACCTTGTGCCCTGCATAGCATCACTGCTGCCAAGAACCAAATCAGTCTGTAGGTAGACAGATGACAGAAGGACCTCCCGAACACCTGAAGACAGAGAGCAAAGTACAAATATGGGCATTTGGATGTGGACAAAGCCAAGGAAGCTTTAGTCTCATCACTGTCCCAGAGAATGTTGCAGCTAAAGTTTTAACTACCAGAGAACTTTGGTGGTGAGGAAGCAGAACCAGAAACTATAAATGAAAGAAATAACAGAGTGTGCTCAGGATACGGAAAGGGAAAGGCAATGCTGTGGCTCCCCTTCATCACGTCAGTCCCTAGCAATTTGAGGTCTTCTCCTGAAGCCACCATGGTGAAGAGCAAAATCCCAAAGGCACAGGGTCTCTGGGAAAAACAAAGTGCCATACATACATGGAGATGATAATGTTGGAGACTACCCACTTCGAAAATAATCCACATCTGTTAATATTACTAATGTCACTTAGTGGAATAACTTGTAATAAGAGACTGCAAATTTTATATAAATTGGAAGTTTTAAAGACCAGTAATGACTTTATTTTTTTTTCTTCATTGCTTTATTTTCATGTGTCTGGGCATAATAAATCCTTGACTTTTCTACAAATCGTGTTGGTATTTAAGGGAATGTTATTCTGGGTGTCACTTTGCTATAAAATGTGGGTAGATTGTAGGGAGATTCATTTCTCTGTGTTGCAACCCCATGGATCTTTTCACCTGGTCTACATGTATGTGTTCATTATAAGGGATATGGGTGAGAACTGTAACTTTTCCTCACATTTTTGCTATTTTTAGATTTGTCTATAATAAAAGTAAGAAATACACATTTTTCTTTAACTGAACTTCACGTTGCCTTTCCAATTAGAGGTAGAGCTACTTTCAGTCAATGTCGTATTATCTGGCAACCCAGTGTCTGCAGACCCAACACTTCACTATGAGCCCAGTCTCTGGCATCACATCTATATTCCTGGGGGCTTCTCATCCTTGGTAACAAATATCTCTCTATGCTGTCAATCCTTAAGGCTGTTGTGTTGCCCTAAAGTTATCAGCAGCATCAATCTGTGCAATTAAATCTTGTGTTTACAAGGTGCTCTCTCCCCTTCTGTCACATGTTCTCCTGATTCCGTGCTCCTGGATTCTTCCTGTGCTGGGCAACGGGAAGTTTGATGAGCCTCTCTGCCCGGGTGCCTATGTATCCAGCCACCTCTGGTTTACTGTTTCTTTGCCATGATGGGTAGGCAAGTCTCTCCCACTGTTTCCTACCCACTCCATGCCCCTCCACCCCCCACACCAGGAAAGCAAGGCACAGATGCTTTCTGTTCTTAGATTTCAACACCTCTCAGGAAATTCTATTTACCATCCTCCTGAATTCCCCACTCCAGGGGGATGGGCACAGGGCCTCATTTTCAGGACACAAACTGCTGTCTGAGTCTAGACATTAGTCAGTCCCTCTTTGCTCTCCCAGACTAAAAAATATTTATTTCTTTTAAGGTCAGAAAGCCAGTGCTTCTATCAGCCTCCATTCTTCCCATTAACTCTTTCTGGAATAAACATACGCTCTTGGGCTTTTAAAAACTCAAATGCTTATTTAGGCTCTTGCTATATTAAAACTTCGGTACCTGAAACTAAAAGTTCTTTGACATTTTAATTCCTCATCACTAAAAAAAAAACCCCATGACTCTCTTGCATGTGGAAATTCAAATTTTAGCAAAGGCTGTGATGAGAAATGCAGAATGCGTTGATTTTCATAGTGAAAATCTGCGTTTTAAGACAAAAGAGAAAGCAGACACACACCAAAACACAAGATGTGTAAAGTGGGAGCCAGCAATGTTTAAAAAACAAAGACACAGTAATGGAGGCAAAGGAAATTAGAAGGAAATCCTTGTTATTAAATCTATGCATATTTACTCCTGCTGATTTGACTTGAGGCTAGGAGAAATACTAGATGTGTGAATTAGGAAAAATGCTTTTAACTGCTTAAGATGCAAAAAATAACAGTAAAAGATTACTTGAGGTAGTATATGTAGAACTCCTAGAATAGTAACAGACACAAATAATTACTAAGTAAGTGCTGACATTGAGGATCTGGTGAAGATGGCAGAGTAGGAGGATGCTATACCTGCCTCCTTACAGGATCACACCAAAATTACAACTAAATTATAGAACAGTCAACTTGGAGAACCATCTGAAGACTAGCTGAACAGAAATTATAAAACTAAGGATGTAAAGAAGAAGCCATACGGAGACTGGTAGGAGAGGCACCAATGAAAATTGGGCTGGATCCCATCCATGTGTGGTGGTTAAGACTCCGGAGGGATATATCAGCTGCAGAGGTCCCCCTGAGGTGCAAGCGGTCTCAGCCCCAAACAGGACTTTCCAGCCTCAAACAGCAAAGTCAAGAAGAGAAGGCCATATAATGTCTGGTTATGAAAATCAGCAGAGATTCCTTCCATCTGGGTGAGAAAGCTGCTAGAAACCCAGGCCATCCTCTTACAGGGCCTGCATACGAGGTCTCACTCACAGGCACTCGCCTTGGGCTCCAGCAAAGGGACAGTGGCTAGGGGGTTGGAAGGCTAGATGGTGTGAGAGGTGTATAGAGAGAAACTGAGTTGTGTGGCTTCAGAATGAGGTCTGGGGAGACGCCAACCATTGTCTATGTTGAGCACTCCTCCTACAGGGCCAATAGGCTCTATCTTTCTTGTATTGAACCCTCCCCGACCCCATATAGCCAAATCTCATTCTGCATTGGCCTAGTAAAGTCCACTGACTTCACACCGATGACTAACTCATATCCCACCCCACCCCTATTCACACACCACCCATCACTGGAGGCTGTTTTGGTGCAACCAGCCTGGGTCTGAATTTTACTCTTAAAAAACTTTCCAGATCTGGTCAAGCTTGGGAAGTGCCAGAGAACTACAGAGAGAAAGTGAGTTGTGTGGCTTCCTGGTGAGGGTTGGAGGGGTGACAGCCACTTTCCAGGTGTCGAGCCCTTCCTCCACATGACCAAACCTTTGATTCTATATTGGCCTGGTGAACTCCACTACCTCCATTCTGACAACTCTCCGAGACCCCACCCTGTGCGGTTGACTTTCCTCACAAGTCCCCCCGTGTGCCACGGATGAGAGTAAACATGACTGAGACATGATGTGACCTGCTTGGGGAGGAGAGGTGGCCAGTTTCCCAGAGGAAAAAGGCTGTGAGCAGTGGCCAGTTTCTCAGGGAAAAAGGCATTGAGCCCCTTCCTCCAAAGGCTTTTATTGGATTGTAAAACACAGGAATACAGGGGGGCAAGGATCAAATAGTAGATAACATTTCAAAGAAATATGAGGGCTTAGTTTGAGTCAGAGTCTGTCAGGAACAGAGTTTTAGGGTTTCCTGCTCAAAACCTTAACATATAAATGAAAGCACTCTTAGCAGAGCAGATTTCACAGGTTTATCAGGAAGTCTTTGTGATGCTAGATTTTTCCCCAGGACACACTCTAGCAAGGCAAGGAGCTGCACCCCTCCACATCAGGTATTTGGGCTCAAGGGGATTAGAGCCAGGAAGCACTTCTCCCAGAATACACAGGGACTCAGGCTATGTCAAAGCGGAGGTGGGGTGGTGGTGTGAAAGTCCATTGCTCCTTCTTTGTTGCAGCCCTCGCAGTCCTTCCATGAAGGCCTCCCAAATGGTCGAGTCTGGCTTAGGTTGCCCCTCCGCTGTGAGGGGTCTTACTCATCATTGACTTCCGACCAAGCTTTGGGGGCAAGGAGAGAAACTGAGGCAGTGTTTGCTACCAGAGACAGGCTTTGTCTCTGCGGCTTGCATTCCAAAGGTCATCCCTCCCGCTTAGCCTCAAGGGGTAGAGTTACAAATTCTAAAACCAGGCAGAGCAATCCACAACACCACCCCACTGCAAAGGTTTGCAGGCCTCAGGTAGATGTTAACTTTTGTTGAGTAACCTCAGGCCCATCACTGGCACCAAATCTGAATCTGTCTTAACCTGATAACAACCTCACACCATCCTGGTAACTCCCTGAGACCCTGCCTCATGCAATTTGCATACCGCCTAAGGCTCTTTTAGCAGCTGAGCCTTAGGGCAAATGCTGGGGGCTAGCAGGTCTTAGGCTGCCTTGGACCTTTTGCTCAGTACTGGTGGCAGCCTAAGTTCACAGCATGGCCTATCACACACACATTCAGGCTTGGTGCAGATGGCTACCAAGTGGAGATTGTTTTATAGCTCCAAACAGGTAACCCAGCTGGTCTCAGCAGAGTCTGACATTGACCAGAACCAGAGCCCAATTCCTCAAGATGCCCCATAACCAGCCCACCCTGTGACTGGCTTCAGACCACAAAAGGGCACCACTCAATTAGCTTCATAAGTGGCGCACCCAAAGGGTAGCTTCATCAGGCACCAAACCCTACTGGGGCGAATCCTGCTCCATCTCACGTGCTGTGCTGGAGGCCAGTCCTCATAGCCAATCAGCCTGAGGGTCAATCACACAGACTGATGTACCAACAGCAATCAAGGCTCAGCTACAAAAGGGCACATACAACCCACAGAAGGGATACTTCTGGAGCACCAGTCTCAGGTGATTAAGAAAACTGCAACGCTGAACCCCACAGGACACCAACTATATAAGGTCACCCTGCCAAGAACGGGAGATGTGACAAATCTACCTAACACATATCAACAAACACAGAAAAGCAGCCAAAATGTGGAAATAAAAAACACATCTCAAACAAAAGAACAGGAGAAATTCTCAGAAAAAGAACTAAATGAAATGGAGGCAAATAAACTACTAGGTACAGAATTCAAAACACTTGGTTGTAAGTATACTCAAGGAATTTACTAAGAATTTCAACATAAATATAGTAAGTATGAAAAAAGGACATAGAAACCATAATAAAAGAACCACTGAAATGAAGAATACAATAACTGGAATGAAGAATACATTGGGAAGATCAATTGGAGATTAGATGAAGCAGAGGACTTGTTGGGGACCACTCTGTGTGGTTTCCAAGACTGTAGCCCCATGAGAACAAGCCCTGAAAGGGGCCAGTAAGTCTCCCTAGAAAACCAGGTAAA